ATATATATATATATATATATATATATATATACACGACATACCTAGTTTTTTCAAATGCAATATATATATATTGCATTTGAAAAAACGCGAGAAGGGATAACAGTAGGTCAGCAGGTCAAGATTTATCATCAACTAGCACTATGTAACATATGCACTTTCTGTACAGGATGTGTCGGTGGTTTAAATAAATAGCTAAGTAATCAATTCATATTTTGCCAAAACGTTGAAAAACAAAAGTGTAGTACAAAACCACGAGAATATTGCCTAAAAAGTGTAATTACAAGAACAGTAAACATTAAATACAATATATGAACAAACGTTTACTTAAGTCACACGACATACCTAGTTCTACGACCAACGTGATATCAAGAAAAAAAATTGTCTGCATTTAAAACTAAAATGACAGTACCCTCCTTAGCTGACAGAGCCCGACAACCAGCCGTACTATCCAACAGTGAATTTTTATAATGCAATGAAATTCGAACAAATTGATTATTCGATCATATATATTTCGTCCCTTTTGTAAATGGTTCATACTATAAATACCATAATGATATTTTTCAGTCTCACCGTGTGTTTATACGTGTGCTTCATGTAACCAGATCCACTTTCAGTTCTTTTCGACATGTCTGCAAGGTTTTACACATGAATTTATGCGATTTCAAACATTACCTATAAATACATTGCTAGAACTTAATTTTTTTGGTGCTTCGTGACTATTTTTTCGTTTGTGTTTCTTATTTATAACATGTGAAGTCGTATCGTTCTACTGTGTGTTTATTACTGTATTCAAATATTTACGACTTCTAAGTTGAAAAATTTTTATTTTTTAAAGAACTTATTGCTTTGATTGATTTACTCATTTTGTAGTTTATTTGAATACACATTGTTATTATACGTTTTCAGGAATAAAATTTTTAATACTAGGTTACCATAAGTAATTGGTATTGGAAAATAATGGAGAATGTAGCTTCAAAGCGTCGTTCAAACTCTGTAGCCAGAGATTCAGAAGCAAAAGAAGATATAATGCACTCAAAGCTTTCTCAAATGGTTAAATAAACATTTTGTGTTTTTTTCCCCTTACTTTCACGCATGAGTTGAGAATGAGCTTTTCTTGTATCAAGCAGCTGAAGTGGTAATCATTTTTAAAACATTTCATTGTA